CATTGTGTTTTCAATAGCCTCATATGGATGCGAAAGCTGGACAGTGAATAAGGAGGATCGTAGAAGAATTGATGCCTTTGAGTTGTGGTGTTAGAGGAGAATACTAAAAGTGGCATAGACTGCCAAAAGAACCAATAGATCTGTTTTGGAAGAAGTGCAGCCAGAGTGCTCCTTGGAGGCCAGGATGGCTAAACTTTGTCTCTCCTACTTTGGACATATTGTCCGGAGGAAACAGTCGCTGGAGAAGGATATCATGCTGGGTAAGATGGAGGGTCAGAGAAAGAGAGGAAGACCCCCAATGAGATGGATCGGCCAGGTGGCATCATTGATGGGCTCAAGTGTGACAGTGGTAGTGAGGTTGGCCCAGGATCGGACATTGTTTCGTTCTGCTGTGCGTGGGGTCGCTATGAGTCGGTTCTGACTCCATGGCACCTGACAACAGCAGCCATCTTTCTCAAACCATCCTTTGAAATTGTCTGTTCAGCTCTTTTACTTCATTTCTCCGTTTGCGTTAGCTTCTCTACGTTCTAGAGCAGGTGTCAGAGTCTCTTCTGACATCCATGTCGGTCTCATTTTTCTTTCCTCTTATAGACCTTTGCAGCATAGTGGTTATGAGTTGGGCTGAGAACCTTAAGGTCAGCAGTTCGAAACGACCAGCTGTTCTGCGGGGAAAAAGATGAGGCTTTCTGCTCCCGTAAAGATTTAAAGCCTCAGAAACCCTGTACAGGGTCGCTATGAGTCGGAACTGACTCCACTGCACCCAGCCACAGCCAGCCATGGACCTTTTCTCCATGTCTGACCTTGCTGTCCTTCCACAACTCATCTAGTCTTCATTCACGGGTTCGATGCTCAGCTCTCTGACGTGGTCTCTGAGTCCAGGTGCTTAGAGAGGGAGGGGGAAAGCACTTAGGCCGCGTCCTCTGCGGGTTAAAGACATTCCTGCACATCAGGCTGAGTCCAGGGACGGCCGCAAAGAAACAAGAAGGGAACCGTCAGGGGCAGGAGCGGAGACTCCGCCAGGTGGCAGCACCATTGAGCCTCGGGGTCTCAGCTGAACTTCCAGGACACGCCCTTGGGGTTCTGTAACAAGTCACTTTGACATCCATGAGACTCACTGCCCGGTTGCCATTTTACTGAGGGTATCTTGACCCCACCTAAGTTCCACTTCTTCCACCAGCTGACCTCAGGGCTATCAGCACTTTGTCATGAGAGGCCTGCCCCACCACACAACCCTGCAACTGTCAGTTAACACCCTGCCCTTCCCCAACCCAGACTCTGACTGAGGTCCTTGGAGGGTCCCAGGGGCTATGGAAGCCAAGGGAGACACCCCCTGGGAGGGGAGTCCAGGGGCAGCTAGGTCAAGAAACTAGAACGGCGTTGTAGTTTCAGGTGGACTGTGTCCTTGGATCCACAGGTGAGCCTCGGAGTCCACCCACCCCCTCACCACCATTAATTCCAACTCCGTGTCGGGTTTGGTTTCTAAGGCATCAATCTTTACAGGAGCAGAAAGCCTCATGGTTCTCCCTCCGAGAAGTTAGTGGGCGCCAACAGCCAGCCTGCGGTTAGTAGTCCAGTGCTTAGCCTACAGCCCCACCGGGACCCCTGCATTCCATGGGAAATACAAAGTCCTCCCATACATACCACTGCTCCCTTACATGACATACAGTGTTCCAAACAGCCAGCGCTTAGCTGAGCTATGGACCACCTCATCAGATACAATGAAACGAGACCCATCAGATGAACAGTTACAAAGCAGTGCTCCTTTCACTGAATTAAGTGTTACTCTGCACATTACCAGGACTTGCTCCTCCCGCCGCACAGCAATGTTCAAAGCAAATAGTTTTTGACTGACTGGAATTCCCGTCACAATGAAACAATGATGCCAGGTGAATAGGTAGGTAAGGCGTTTCCCTGTGGCAGAGCCCCACTCCCCGTAACACTTCCATTAAAGCTCCACAGCAGCAAATTCCAGGAGGAAAGCTTAGGATCAGCACTGGACTGCGAACCACAAGGCTGGTAGTTCAAACCTACCGGTTGCTCCTCGGAAACCCTACACAGGGTCACTATGAACTGGAACCGACTCGATGGCACTTAACAACAACACTGAAGAGGCTGGGTTTGACCTTTTGAGACAAACCCTTCCCTGAGTAGCTGTCCCCATGCTGTTCCCCTTCTTGGCGGGAGATAACGAGGGCACACAGGCACTAAACTAGACAACACACTACGTCCTCCTTACCCACATTCACACAAAAAAACCCCCACTTCCCTCAAGTCAATTCAGAAGCCTGGTGACCCAGGGGGGCTTTCAAGAGAGGCTGTAGGTCTCCCGCAGAGTGGCTGGTGGGTTTGAACTGTTGCTGACTTGGTGGCTATCAGCCCCCGTGCCTGACCCGCTGCGCCCCACAGAGCAGCTGGTATTTCCACCACCCAGGGTCTGGTTTGGACTGCAAAGTTGGCAGTTTAAAGTTGCCAGTCACTCCTCGGAAGCCCTATACAGGACTGCTATGAGTCGGAACCTACTCAATGGCATTTAACAACAGGGCCCAATGTTCCTGTCCAGGCAAAAATGCAAGGGTTTATCTGTATGTAACATACTTAAAACAGATTTCTGATCCTGTTCCATTTCTGAAAGAAGCTTCAAAATGCTTCCAAGGTTACAAGTCAGTTGTCTAGTTTAAAAGGCAGGGCTCTAGTGCCCCATGCATTGGTTCCGCTTAGACCTGACCTGCTTACACAGCCTGTGGCCACATTTCCTCTTCTCTGTCCTGGGTGTTACGGTGGTGGGTGGAGCTTCTTTCTTTGCTTGGACCTTGGCCTCCAGCTAAAGGGGACACCTTCTCAGCTCTCCTCTGCAATGCCCAGCCTCACCCAGCCCGGCACCACCCTCCCTCCCTTCCTGACTTTAAGGTCTGCCTTTATTCTTTCTTTAAGGTCTGCCAGGGTGAGTTGGCACCTTCCTGAAGGCTGCAGCAGCCACCCTTCTTAGCACCCCGCGGGCAGTCTGTAGTGCTCTGGGGTTCTTCCCAGACAGCGAGCGTGTGTTCTCACTTCCGCAAGAGCAGAAACCACGTCCGGCCCGCTCAGAGACTTCTTAAAGAACCCAGGTCCCTGGCCTCATACCTTCAGAGTAAATGTATCAGCAATCTGGGTTAACCCTTGCTATTCTAATCAACTGAGAGGAGGCCTCCCTGCAATGTTGGCAGAGGGGCCAGAAGCCCCCCCTCCAAAAAAAAGGCAAACGGTGGGGCATTCTAATCACCAAATCATCCCTGCAATGTGTTGTCCTGACTACAGTGGGGGAAGGGCATTTGATGATGCCATCAGCAGTCTGGGACTATAGGTTTCCCCTGCTGTCTATAAGTTGCATGATCCTATGAAGTCTTTGGTAAATCAAAATGGCATATTAAGCAAAAAAGCCATTCTCCATTAATTCATCCAGAAAACAAAAGCAGTTGTGCTTTGCCAGAACCCAAAACATCACCTCTGAAAATCAAACCAAATAAAGGCTCAAACAGCACTAATAGATCACCAACGTTCAGAGACACCGTTCAAAGCTGTGGGGTTGATGTCCAGTGCAGTTCCGGGGGAGGAGTCTGCCAACGCCACTCTCTCTCTCTCTCTCTCTAACTCTGCGTCTTTAAAGGCTCGCTGCAAAACAAACACTTAAATGCTGGTTTGGCTCCTGGTCTTTTATTCCCGAAAGCGATCTTTCTAAGAGTGGGGGCACCTGGATTGACTTCAGCCCAGCAGACAGCCATAAGCCCCTCAAGCGGAGGACCTGCTGAAGGTTTATTCCGCTGTGTGGCTTCTCACACACCTGCCCCCTCCAGCACTGATCCTGCAGGTGAACAGTACAGAACACAGAGCTGCTGACGTGTTTTAGCCAGGAAGCTGCGCTGCAAGTGAAACCCGACCCTCTCTGGTGCACACCCCTAGACCAATGTAAGCAGTCTAGAAGAGTGCACAAACCAGCACTGATGGGACTATAAATTCTGTGTGAGGAAGGAAAAAGAACCATCAGGAAGCAAAATAGAACGGACCCAAGATTGCGCTGCAAATACCCAAGTGGACTGATCTGCCAGATCTTTTGCACCGTTTTGTCCAGCTCTGCCTCCCTTCATTCATTCACAAAGAATCTCAAACAAATTAATGACTGGGGGAGGGAAACAATCCGTTACTAAGGAGACAAACTAGGATTACAGGACCCAGCACCTCACCACCTTCTGGACATCCAAATAAGTGTAGGTGACAAGTTCACCATGGGTAACTACCGACCAAGTCCCCCTGAACCCAGAAAAGCCAGCCCCTGGCATCCTGCACCCCAAACCATAGCACCATAGCCCTGGATATGAAGCAAAGGGCTACGGCTTACCCATCCAGCCATACTTGTCACCTCCAGACTCCAGCCCACCTCCCATCTAGCTCCCAGATCCTGGGGAGGACTCTCCAGCCTCAGGTTAGCCCCACGACTTCAGTAAGACTACTCTGCCCCATCCTGACCCCATTCCTCTGGTAATGAAATACCCAATCCCAGACTCGGCCTCTACACTGGACGTCTCCTGGAGTGGCCAGACCCAGGTCTTCGGCCGTGGCTTCCGGGGGCGTCTGTCAAACCAGTCCGTACCTACCACCCTGGGCTGACGATCCCCCCACCACTCCAACCTTTACTCGTGCCCCGGGTGGTGATTCTCCCAGCTGGCCAGACCCACGCCACGCCCCCAGTGGTGCCCCTCCTGGGTGGGCCATCCCACATCTCCAGGATGCGATTTTCCTAGGCCGACCTCGACCAACTCAGTCCCCACCAGGGCGGCCACACCGGGTTGGCCCTGACCTATGGCCTCCCCCGAGGGAGGCAATTCCGCTACCAAGTCTCGATCTGCGGACCCCGTCGGTGACCCCCGGCCCAACCCGTTCCACCCCCGCCCGCTGACGATCCTGACCCCCAACGACCCCGGCGACGACCCTCCACGCGCGACCCCGCCGATGACCCCGGTCCTCACCTTCGGCCAAGACCCGCCGCACCCGCAACCGCAGTTCGCCCAGCTCCACCGTCTGCCCCACGAAATCATTCTGATCGCGGCCAGCAGCACCGCCCAGGGAGCCTGGACCCGCCAAGAAATCGAGCGCAGACTGCAGTAACGACATAGCGAAGGCGACAGCACAAACCCGGAGGAGAACCCGAGAGACTGGACTCGGGCTCCAGCTCCGTCTGGGTTTGCTCAGCAACCGCTCGCCCCGAATTCCACCATCTTCCGCCCCGGCACTGTGACGTAATAACGCGGGAGAACGCGTCGTCAGGTGGCGTCGCAGCCCAGCCTGCTGGATGCCTCACTTCCGCCGCGCGGACAAGATGCACATGCGCGGACCCTCCGGTCGTGGTTGTGCATGCGCGGAGACGCCCGTCACGAGACTTGCTTCCGGGCGCCAAGCTTTCGGCGCGGGGCAGTCCGCAGCGGAGACGCGCGGAGGAGTCGCCGCGGCGACTCTTGCCCAGGTAGTCTGGTCCCTTGCCCACCTCCTAACTGTTCCCCACCGGGCTTTTGGCTGGCGATGATTGCGCGTTTGCGGGAGGCTAATTCTCAGGTGGTATGGTGGAACTAAGCGCCTCGCCGTCCTTTGGGATGAATCCATTCCCCCTTTGCTGGTGGTATTTCATTTGCGAAGAGTTGGCGGGAGAGTTAGTATACATGAAGCACTCAATAAATGCTTATCCTTTGCTCCTTAGAGGCGGAAATGTCCCGCGATGTTTAGTAAGGTCGGTAGCACTGTTCGCCTGACACCATCGGTGTGGGGCACGAGCGTAACCTGAACCGGGGCCAAAGCAGTGGGTTTCACTGCCTTAGAGTCATCCCAACTCGTATTTCTACGGGAGCGGACAGCCACGTCTTTCTCCCGCGGAACTAGCTGTTAGTGGGTTTGAACCACCAACCTGCTGATTGACAGCCCAACGCTTAATCCACTGTGCCCCCAGGTCTCCTTGGGCCAGGACCGTGACCAATAATCTTGGAGCCACTCTGGGTAACCACAACACAACCGGGACTGGCCTAGTGATCTCACGAGATTCCTTGGCTAGCTGACAATGGCGAGGCAAAAGCAAGCCCCCTTGAGGCAGTTGGAAGGGTTCCTAACGTCCCAGTGTTTGGGGGATTCATGAATCCGTTGCTGACGTTTCATGATTGGAAAATTGAGGTTTTCAAAACCCAGTTGCCCAGCTTCTGTAGGGAGATGAAGGAGACCTGGTGGGATAATGGTTGAATCAATGGGAGCAAGATGTTGTTAAGTATTATGGAGTCGGTTCTGGCACATAGCAACCCTGCCCAGGGTTTCTGAGGCTATGAATCTTTACAGGAGCAGAACGCCTCATCTTTCTCCTGCGGAGCCGCTGGTAGTTTCGAACTGGTAACCTTGAGGTTGGCAGCCCCACTCATAACCATTATGCTACCAGAGCTCCTTGAGAGCAAGATGTAGGGCCTTGGAACCCCCCTACAGGGCAATTCTACTCAATCCTATAGGGTTGCTTGAGCTAGAATTGACTCAGCACCAGTGGGTTTGGTTTTGGTGTATAGAGAAAGCAGATATGGCAAGGTTGGGCCCTTCATACTATGTGCCACCAGCTGCCTACATTTCCCTCCTCCAGGGAAGGGGTCATGACTTGGTGGTAGAACTCTCGCCTTCCATATGGGAGACCCAGGTTCAATTCCCAGCCGGTGCAGCTCTCAGGCCGCCACCACCTGTCTGTCTGTCAGTGGAGGCTTGTGTGTTGCTAGCATGATGAGCAGGTTTAGAGAAACTCCCAATGAACACACGCTAGCAAGAAAGGCTTAATGGCTCAATGGTCTGGTTCCAAGCATTCAGCCAATGCAAATCCTCTAGTCAAAATGCAGGCTAATCTAGCAGTAGCTAAGGACAGCAGCCCCCTCCAGATAGGACAGGCTCAGGTGTTCACAGGTCCCACCTGCCTGGCGACTGTAGGGTTGAAGTTGCAACCTGTTGAGTTGGTTTTCTTGATTCTTAAACTCAAAAGTGACTCCAAACGCTCCAATCACTTCAGAATTTCATGCGACTAGAAATTTCTTTCCAGGGTCTCCAGTCTCGGGCCTGTACACCCTATACCTCTCACTGTCTGACGTCACACCCACCAAGCTTTCCCGTTACCCCCCTCTGCCTGCCTCAGCTCTGCCGGGAGGGCTCGCTGCCTGTGTCACCAAGGTGAGCCCCAGGGTCACATGCTCACAGAGCGTTACCAGAACCCAGCCGGACCCGCAGAATCCACCCCTCCCACTCTTTCAGCTTGGAACAGGAAGTCAGGGGCTTTATAGATCTGCAACTAATGATGACACTATCAGGTAGTGCCAACCCAGAAGATAGGGTCAGCTGAGGCTGGGCGGGCATAGATGATGAGCAAGGACTTTATGAAGGGACTTGGCATGGTGACCATGTCTGTAGGGGGAGGGGCTGACCCTGGCCTCATCTGTGGTGGGGAGGGCGCACTCTGGTGATCACCTCTGAGAGGGGGCGGTCTCAATGTGACCACATTTGAGGGGGTTTGCCCCAGTGTCCACATCTTTAGTGGGGCTCACCCCATGGTGACCTTGTCTGTGGGTGAGGCTTTGACCCTGACTCCTCCTATCAGGGGGCTCATCCTGGTGACCACGTCTGTAGGAGAGAAATCTTCCCAGGGTACTCACGTCTGTGGAGAGAGTCCTCACCCCAGTGACCACATCTCTGGAGGGTCTCACCCCGTAGTGACCATGTCTCACTCCATGGTGATCATATTGTAGGGGGCTTGCCCCATGGTGACCATGTCTGTGGGGGAGGGCTCACCCTGGTGACCACATCTGTTGGGGGCAGACCTGGGGGGGGGGTGGCACTGGTGACCACGTGTAAGGGAAGAGAACTGAGTGCAGGGCTGAATGGCCTTGGACAGGTAACTTGTCCCCTGAGCTTCAGTCTCGGGTGCTTGGAGCTGAGAGGATCTGGGCCTCTGTCCCCAGTGGTGGCTCAGTGCTGCCCCCACAGGTGGACTGATGCTGCTGTGGACACCCTCTGCCAGCAGAGAGTGTGGGAATGCCTTGCTCTGCTGTGGAAGCTGGTTCCGGGCCTCGGATTCCCCCCGGGGTACACCAGGCTCCCCCAGGGCCCTTCGTGAACAGGGGCACTGCAGGACCCCCGAGCCCCCATGCCCTTTCTAGGAGTACCACATGTAAGAGTGGCAATGTTGGGGGCTGGGGGTCCCTCCCTGATGACATCATAATAGTGAGTGGTACTGCCTGCTCTCACCATGTCGAGTGTACCTCCCCCCGCTTCTCCCTTCTCAGCAGGGGACTACAGCACAGGGAGCTTGTCCTCGTCCAGGTTCCAGCTCCCCTTGGGGACAGGGCCAGCCTAGAGCCTGATTCTGCTGTCACCTTAGCCCAGAGACTTCCCTGGATAGAGAGACGCCAGCCTTCCCACCCCACCCCCGCCACAGAGGCGCTCCTCCTCCGGGGATCACAGCTCTCCTGGGCCCAGCACCCCCTCTCTCAGCTCTGCACACTCCCTTGCAGGCCCCACCATGGATGGGTCCCAAACCCCGGAGCGGGTGCTGGACGTGCAGGGGGAGGAGGACGCTGGCGACGGGCTTCAGTCCTCCCATCGAATGCTGAGCTTCAGCGATGCGCTGCTGTCCATCATTGCCACGGTCATGGTCAGTGTGGGGCCCACCAGCCCCCCAAGCAGCCTGTGGAACAGTGCTAACGTCAAGACTGTTTGATGTGAGCCCCAGAAACACTCTTGTCTCTGCTCTTACAGATCCTGCCTGTGACCCACACGAAGATCTACCCGGAAGAGGTACTTACTTAGGAACCGTTGGTGTCTCTGTAGCCCGTGGCTGCCGCCCATCTCTGTCTTGAGCCCATTTGGGGGGCTCAGGATTGCTTTCAGTCAGACAGGCCAGCCCACACACCCCATACTTCAGAGGCACAGTGGGTTGAAGGGTGCCCCCACTTGGGCTCATGCCTCATCCAAAGGGACAAAACAGTGCTGGCGTTTCTTCCCACAGCACCATCACCAACTCAGCTCCTGCCCTGGCAAGTCATGTGCCTGATGCGGGGCCCGAAGGCCAGCAGACCCAGGCCCGGCTTTACAGGGGAAGGGGCAACATGTACCATGATGGTGGTGTTGGTAGGGTCCAAACCTGTGTAACCTCAGGAGGGATAATGACTAGGGTCCACCCCAGCTGATCCCTGTGAGGCAGAGGTCAGACATCACCCAGCCGTTTACCTCCCTCCACTCTCTGCCCCTCTGCAGGGTCCACAGAACTCGAAGACCACACATTACAGGGCTCACTAAGGAGCAGGGCACAACTTGCCCTCAGAATTAGGGTTGGGAAACATGTAGGCCAAGTCTCCATCATGCAGGGCAGGACAGCTCTCAGCACTCTCAGGACAGGCTCTCCTTGGCCTTGCCATCTCTTGTCACCAGCCCTGCCATTAGGCCTGTGGCCCTCATCGGTGTTAAAGCCCTTGACCTGTGTCACAGCCGTCTTCGAAGGTTCTTTGTCCCCCTTCTTCCTGAGCCCCCTGGGGGACTGGCTGCAGATTTATACAGGCTCCTTCCCAATTTCAAGGCATTGTGCCTCCCACCAGGACAATGAGCAAACCAATCCATTGGAAGACCACAGACCCTCCTTTTCATTTGCATGTTGTTAGACGCATTCAAGTTGGTACCAACTCATAGCCACCCTGTGTACAACAGAAGAAAACACTGCCTGCCTCTATGCCAACCTCACAATCGTTGCTATGCCTGAGCCCAGAGCTGCTGGCACTGTGCCAATCCATCTCATCGGGGGTCTTTTCTCTTTTTCTCTGACCCTCCACTTTCCCAAACAGGATATCCTTCTCCAGGGACTGGCCCCTCCTGGTAATATATCCGGAATATCAGAGATGAAATTTGGCCTTCCTGGCTTCAGCTTCCCAGGAGCACTCTGGCTGCGCTTCTAACACACATCTGTTTTTACTTTTGTCAGCCCATGGTTCATTCCGTATTCTCCTCCAACACCATAACTCAAAAGCATCAATTCTCTTATGGTCTTCCTTATTCACTGTCCAGCTTTCGCATGCATATGAGGTTATTGAAAATACCATGGCTTGGGTCAGATGCACTCTAGTCCTCAAACCGACATTTTTGCTCTTCAACACTTTAAAGAGGTCTTGTGCCGCAGATTTGTCTAATGCAATACGTTGTTTGATTTCTTGACTGCTGCTTCCATGAGTGTTGATGGTGGATCTGGGAAAAAGTTGTCTTTGACAACTTCAATCTTTTCTCCATTTATATGGATGTTGCTTAATGGTACAGTGGTTAGGGTTTTTCTTGTCTTTACATTAAGTCTTTGATCTTCATCAGTAAATAAGTTGTCTTCTTTGCTTTCAGCAAGCAATCTTGCATCATTTGTATATTGTAGGTTGTTAATGAGCCTTTGTCCAATCCTGATGCCACATTTTCTTCATATATTCTAGCTTCTCAGATTATTTGCTCAGCATACAAATTGAATAAGTATGGTGAAAGAATACAACTCTTGTGCACACCTTTCCTAATTTTAAACCATTCAGTGTTCCCCTGTTCTGTTTGAACAACTGCCTCTTGGTCTATGTACAGTTTCCTCATGAGCACAATTAAATGTTCTGGAATACTCATTCTCCACAGTATTGTCCATAGCTTGTCACCATCCACACAATTTAAAATCTTTGTGAAGCCGATAAAGCACAGATAAACATCTAGTATTCTCCGCTTTCAGCCAAGATCCATCTGACATCAGCAGTGATAACCCTCATTCTATTTCTTCTTCTAAATCTGGCTTGAACCTCTGGAAGTTCTCTGTCAATGTATGCTTGCAGCGGTTTTTATATCATCTTTAGTAACATTTAACTCTCATGGGATATCAATAATATTGTCCTATGATTTCTGCATTCCATTGGACCGCCTCTCTTTGGAATGGGCACAAATATGGATCTCTCCCAGTCAGTTGGCCAGATAGTTGTCTTCCAAGTTTCTTAGCAGAGATGAGTGAGTGCCTCTTGTGCTGCCTCACTTTCTTGAAAGATTTCAATTTTTATTCCATCAATTCCTGGTGCCTTGTTTTTTTGCTAATTCTTTCGATGCACCTTGAACTTTTTTCTTCAGGGTCATTGGCTCTGGATCATATGCTACCTCTTAAAATGGTTGAACATTGACCATTTCTTTTTGGTACAGTGACTGTGTATTCCGTCCATCATTTTTTGATGCTTTCTGCATCATTCAATATTTTGCCCATAGAATCCTTAATACTACAAGTTGAGGCTTGAATTTTTTCTTTATAGTTTTCTCAATTTGAGAAATGCTGAGCGTGTTCTTCCCTTTTGGTTTTATTACTCTTGGTTTTCGCCCATTACATTACAATATTTTAGTTTGTCCTCTCAAGCTGACCTCTGAAATTTTCTGTTCAGCTCTTGGACCTCCTCATTTCTTTCATTTGCTTTAGCATCTCTACACTGGAAAGCAAGTTTCAGAGTCTCTTCTGACATCCATTTTGGTCTTTTCCTTTTTTCATGTCTTTTAATGACCTTTTGCTTGCTTTCTATATGATCTTGATGTCATCCCACAACTCTTCTGGTCTTCAGTCATTAGTGTCTTAACGCATCAAATCTGTTCTTGTGACGATCTCTAAATTCTGGTGGGATATGATCAATGTCATATTTTGACTCTCATGAACTTGTTTTAATTGTCTTCAGCTTTAGCCTGAACTTGCTTATGAGCAGTTGATGGTCTGTTCTGAAATCTGCCGCTGGCCTTGTTTTGGCTGATGATATGGAACTTTTCCACCCTCTCTTTCCACAGGTGTAGTTAATTTGATTTCTGTGTATTCATCTGGTGAGGTCTATATATATATATATAGTCTTTTTAATGTTGTTTTAAAAGGTATTTGCAGTGAAGAAGTCATTGGTCTTGCAAAGTTGTATCATGTGATCTCCAGCAATGTTTCTGTCACCAAGGCCGTATTTTCCAACTACTGATCCTTCCTCTTTGTTCCCAACCTTTTCTTTGTATTACAATCGCCAATGATTATCAGTACATCTTGATTGCATGTTAGATCAATTCCAGACTGAGGAAGTTGGTAGAATTCTTCTATTTCATCCTCACTGGCTTTAGTGGTTGGTGCATAAATTCGAATGATAGTGGTGTTAACTGGTCTTCCCAGTAGGCGCATGGAGATTATCCTATCAGACACCTTTGTACTTCAAGACAAGTCTTGTTAGGTTCTTTTTGATGATGAATGTGAGGCCATTCTTCTTTGTCATTCCTGGCGTATTAAATCACGTGATTGTCAAATTCAAAATGGCCAATTCCAGTCCATTTCAGCTCACTAAGGCCTAGGATATTGCTTTTTACAAGTTTCATTTCATTTTTGCCGATTTCCGATTTTCCTAGATTTGTGTGTCATGCATTCCATGTTCCGATTCTCAGCTTTCTGGTGCAGACGGTGCACCGCTGTCATTGATAAGGTTTTCAGTGACGAAATATCTGGAAGTCGTCCATCTCTCCTCCTCAGTCTGTCTTCGTCTGGAAGCTCAGCTGAAACCTGTCCACCGTGGGTGGCATTTCTGGTATTTAAATTACCAGAATTGTGGCGTCGTTTCCAGAATCAGAGCGACACAAAAGCCGCCTTCGCACGACAAACTGATGGACGAGTGCTGGTTCCCCAAGAAGCACCCCTCTCCCCCCACACACACACCAGATTGTTAGGTGCCATCGAGTCGGTTTCGACTCAGCAAACTTAGGCACAACAGAGTGAAACAGTGCCCGGTCCTGCGCCATCCTCACGGTCATTACACTGGAGCCCAGGCTGCTGCCACTGGGGCCACCCATCTCATTGGGGGTGGGAGGGGTCTTCCTCTTTGTCACTGACCCTCCTCTTTACCAAGCATGCGAGCCTTTTCCAGGATATGGTCCCCCCTCATGACTTGTGCCAAATAAGAGAGATCAAGTCCCACCCACCTTTCTATCCTTTTTTAATTTTTAACTTTTTATTGTGTCTTGAGTGAAGGTTTACAGGGCAGATCATCAGTTTTACATTCAACAAATCGTATTCTTTGTGTCGTTGGAATGATTGCAGGTCTCCTCCAGGAGCAGTATTTACCTCTTCACTGTGGCTCTCACATTCCTCCCTGCCTCTTTCACTATTTTCGTCTTTCCTCTGCTTACCTCCCGCTTCTTCTATATTGCTTTCCCACTCTGGCTCCTAAGGAACATTCTACCTGTACTTTTTTCAACATGGATGTTTGTTCTTTTGTCAGTCGATGATACTTTTAATACTCTGCAACACCATAATCCAAATGCCTCGGTTCTTCGACAGTCTTCCTTATTCACTGTCCAACTTTTACATGCATATGAGGTTACTGAAAATACCCTGGCTTGGTTTGCTGCAGTTGGAGCTCTGCTCTTGAGCACTTGGAAGTGGTCATGTGCAGCTGACTTATTTAGTACTCCCTCATTTACTCACCAGCAGATGCTCACCCCTGACCCTCTGCTTTCCAAGTATCTGTTACAGCAGAAATCCTATAAGCGGAGGCTTGGTGGTGGTGGTGGTTATGTGCCATGGAGTTGGTTCCAACTCACGGCGACCCTGTACAGCGTTTCTGAGGCTGTAAAACTACGGGAGCAGAAAGCCTCATCTTTTTCCCACGGAACAGCTGGTAGTTTCGAACTGCTTACCTTGCATTTTGCATCCCAATTCATAACCATTACGCTACCAGATCTCCTTAAGTGGAGGCTTATCAACCAGAAATGTCGTCTCTTATAGTTAGAAGGCTACAATCCACCTTCAGAGTGCCAGTTCTTAAAACAGCTTTCTTTATTGGCTCTAGAACAGAGCCTGTCAGCATCTGTGGGCTCAGCAGTCCTTGGAGATGCCCACGTGTCTCGGCACCAGTCTTCCCTGGATCTGGGAGCTTCACACTTCAGGGACCCCGGGTCCAAAGGACACATACCACTCCTGGCTCTTCATTCTTGGTGGCAGTAGGGACCTCTGAAGCTAGCCCACTTCTTTTTGTCTGTGAGAGATTGACTAAGGATAGAACCTGATCCCGGAGACCGCATCTGTCGTCGTCGACCTCTTGTCTTTAGTGCTGTGCAGTTGGTTTGGACTCTTAGACAGCCACACCCTATACAGGGTTTCTGAAGCTTTAAATTTTTTGCAGGATTGGAAAGCCTTATCTCTGGCCAGCTGAGCGGCTGGTGGTCTTGTGCTTATTGTGTGGAGCCACCCTGCTCCCCATTAGCATCACCGAAGTAAGGCTGTACGACATAGGATGGTTCCATCCGGTCGGGCTGATCCCATCAGGTCACAGGGTTGGTTTTGTTGTATTCAGTCTCATCGTAGGGGTGATGACTGCATCCAGACAGCTAATCCACTGAGAGGCTTCACCCAGCCAAGTTGATGCAGAGCCCTAACTATCACACCAAGCACGGCATCCTTCTCCAGGAACTGGTCTTCCAGTCACTGTGCCCAAAGTCAGCTTGTGGAAGGACTGGGGCCTCCTGGCCACGTGTCACTATCCTAGCTTCTAAAATACTTCTTCCAACACAGATTTGCTTGTTCTTCTGGAAGTTCAAGGTGTAGTCAGTGTTTTTCACCAGCACCGTCATGTAGAGTGCGTCCTGGTGATGATGAATGTTAATTGCAAAGTTGGCGGTTTGAATTCACCAGCGGCTTCTTGGAGACACTATATAAGGTGGCTGTAGGTCAGAACCGACCCTGGCACTTAATCATAGTTCAGAGGCATTGAGTGTTCTCTGCTTTCCCTCGTACACTGTCCCCCTTTCCCATGCATGTAAAGTGACGGAAAAGACCCTAGCTGGGTCTGGTGCACTCTAGCCCTCAAGGTTATGTATTTCACAAGAATCCCTGTCCTCTGGGAACTGAGACTTGAGTGTGATGAGCAATCCGCAGAGAGATTTCTAAAATACGGGTGAGGGATCTCGGCTGGGGGCTAGGCCACCAGGAGCAGCTGACCCTGTTGTCCAGGGAAGACTACTTGGGAGCTACATCCTGTGGAGACCTAGCAGTGGGGGGCAGGTTACCCGGCGAGATGACTGTACAGGGGCCCTGGGAGGTAGTGAATCCCCACAGAGGGATGGAGCACAAGACATGGGCGCTGGCTTTGTCCCATAGAGATAGGTCAGTTGCATCTGAGCTTTGTGGAGGCTTTACGCAGCCAGCCTTGTCAAGGACCAGAATGGGTAGCCTCTGCCAGAATCCTGGGGCCATTTTACTTCCCGGCTGAAGTGCGTTCCCACAGCAACCGAGACCAGAGCTTCCGTTGCACCCTTGCTACTCATGTAAGAGTGGTGCATTAGACAACCACAGCTACTCATGTAAGAGTGGTGCATTAGACAACCGCAGCGCTTCAGAGGACGTGTGTCTGCAGTGCTTGTGCGGTCACCCAGATTAACACAGTGGACGCCAGGCTACCTCATGCTCTCTGGGGAGAGGGGAGGCAGGCAGCCCCCCCTCCCCAGGGGAGCCTCCCACAGAGGCCGGAGCCAGGACTGCGCGGCTAGCAAGTCTGCCTGGGTCTCCTGCAGCCCCTCAGGATGATGATCTCCTTTACCCAGCAGTTTGACACGAACATACAGAAGCTTCTAGCAACCAAAATCGCTGTGTACCTGATGACATTTCTGCTCGTGACTGTGGCGTGGACGGCGCACATCAGGTATGGGAGATGCGGGGGCTTTGATTATCCCATCTGGCAATGTGACAGGTGTGTGTGGGTGCTGGGGACATGGGGTGAGGAGCAGTGTGGGCCTCGGCCTCACTGAGCCACTGAGGTCACTATCAGCCTGGGAGGGTAGCAGGCCTGTGGTACGGTGCCAGAGACACATCTGAGACCAGCACATCCAGCATGGACCTCGTTCAAGGGGCTGGGATCAGTAGACCCTCCTTCCCCTCTCCTCCATTTGTGGTCTAACCCTCAGTCGCCACTTGCTCATCCAAAAATGACAGTGACGGCATGTCACCCCAGGGCCTAGGAGGACAGGTAGGGTGTGTCTGCTCATCAGGGGCCCCTCAGGAAAGGACACATCACTGAATCAGCAGAATAGGCCTGGGTTTCAGCATGGCCCCATGGGGATGTCGGGACAGCAGGAGAGGTGGCCAAGGCAAACAGGAACAGCTCAGAAACCGCCACCTGCGGCCCATTTCCTGAGGTCATGGCAGTGGAACCTGTCTAGCCGCCACACTGTTGCCAGGGGGTGTATGCCAGGACTGTGGTGTTAGACGTGTTCCACTCCCTGAGCCGTCTGGAGAGCCTGCCCACACTTTCTAGTCCTGCCCAGCATCCGAGCTAGTCTTCTAAAGTCTTGCTGCATCGGTATAAACCATCTCTACGCACAATAGTGTTGGGAGCAGACAGCGCAGTGGGCTCCATTTACTGTCCAGAGAGCTCACCTTCCAGAGAAGGGTGTCCAGGGCACCAGACTTGAGAGGGTAGGTATCTTCCCAGCTTGAGGCACCGTCTCCCAGATGACACTTCCTCACAAGAGAGGCCAACCCTGCTCTCCAGTCTCTGGGGGTGGAGAGAACAGAGGGTCCCGAGTCTGCGTGATAGTCTGTGCTCCAGGCTCTGGCACGTTGCCTGTCCTAGTTCAGTCTGTTTCCCTTAACTAGAAGAAAGTAGACGAGGAGAACCCATGGAACGTTCACAGTGCTTATTTTGAATGGCTGATCTTCTAAGTTATCTCTGGTCTGTTTGTTTTCCATTGTACGTTTTCAACACATGGCGTCTTTCAGTAAGGCTTCAGACATTTACATCCCTCAGCGCACTGTGCTTGATTGGCAGCTTGTCTTGTTTGTGTGATTAATCCTGTAGATTGTTCCAGGTCGTGGGGAAAACAGATGACACGCTTGCCCTGCTCAATCTGGTGAGTGTTTCCTATCATTTTGGGGGCGTGGTACTAACTTTCACCATAACTCTTCATGGATGAGTAAGAGGTAGTAGGTCCCCTCTGCCCCAGGCGTCCCTGATTGAGGGCATTTGGGGGTACTCAGGACATGGAGGCAGGAGGAGCAGCGGGGACAGCTGGGGATCGGGGCTGGTCGGGGCATTGGGCGCTCAGGTCTGACTGAGTCTCCAGTCTGCGCCATGCTTACTGCTGCCTGGCCTCTTGGTATGCAGAGGCAGGAAAGGTGCCCCTGTTCCCCTGGCTGGGCGGGTCTGGGGGACTGGATGGTGGTGGCCTGCGGGGCTCTGCACAGCAGCTGAAGCAGCCTTCGTCCCTCCCTCCCCACAGGCCTGCATGATGACTATCACCTTCCTGCCATACACAGTGAGTGATGCTGCCAGGACGCAGACCAGGGTGCCAGGGAGAGGGGGGAGGGTCCTGGGGCTGGCGGTACTGTCCGGAATTCCTGAGTTCCCCTTGCTGCTTATTCAGCCCCGATGCATAATGAGCGCTGGCCCAGGGCATGGAGGGGACGGGGGGGGGAGACGTGGACAGAGACCTGGAGGCAAATACCTCCCCTCTCCTGCAGACCTTCCTCTGGCCCTCCTCTCAGGATCCCGCCCCTAAGCTCAGGCTGTGGTGCTGACAGCTGCCCAGGGACCCCTGGCTTGGGGTGTTCCTACTCTGGCAGCTCTCCAGCTGGAAAGTGCCTATCCCAGGGACTGGAGAGCCCCTGAGACTCCCCGGGTCCCCAGGTCCCAGATGCTGCATTCTTCCCTGCAGTTTTCCCTAATGGTCACCTTCCCTGACGTGCCACTGGGCATCTTCTTGTTCTGCGTGTGCGTGATCGCCATCGGGCTGGTTCAGGTAGGAGCTCAGGTCAGGCCCTCTGTGTGTATACATGTATGTGAGACCCATCAGGCTGGTTCTGGTAGGAGCTCAGGTATAGTTCGTGTGTGTGTGTACATACATACATGTGTGTGATGACTGACCATTGGGCTGTTTTAGGTAGTGTCTTAGGCTGGGTTGTCTAGAGAAGCAAACCCAGTGAAACTCCCTATGTGTACATACGGAGAGAAATTGATTATCAAGGAAATGGCTTACAATGGTAGAGTCCCAGGTCCCCAGCAGAAGGTTCTGGTAGGTTCTGATCAGCTCAACCGTAGCCATCCAAGCTACAAGCTTGCAGTGGGTCCTGCTCATAGTGCTAACTATTTAAGCAAAGTAGGGACCATGTCTGACTTCCTTTGATTCCATAAGGTGGAAAAGGGGACAGATTCAAAATCGGCCAGAGAGAATGAGAGAGAAGCTTTCAGGTGGGAACTCTCTGTGTGTGTGTGTGTGTGTGTGTGTTTTTACACCCTGGGCTGCTTCAGGTCTGTTGTGTGTGTATATATGTGCTCACCACTAGGGCTGTTCAGGTGGGACACCCAGATCTGCCTGTCTTTCCCACAGAGCCCACGTTCCCCACAAGTGCACACGTAGACTCTAGCATGTTTGTTGTGGGAATGGCTGAGTAGAATAGGTGGGGTTCGAGTGGGTATCCCTGCCGTAGAGTATGGCAGGATCAGCCTAAAAGTGCACGGGTTGTGGGCTTCCTGGCGGGCGGGGATCTCCAGGTACGTGGTGTGTGGTGGGACTGCCAGATGGGGCGCTGTGGGCTTCTGCCGGTGGTGAGTAGGTGGTGAGTAGGTAAGAGAAGGGCCACTTAGCCAGACCCCTGGGACCCACATACCAACCCCAGAATCAGAGCAAGGGCCCTCTCCACCCTCCCCAAGCCTCAGACAAGTCTTTCTGGTACTCAGGTGGGCGGAAGAAGTGGACACTCGGTGGTGATTGCCAGGCGCCCACAGTCAGCTTCTCCCCACAGGCGGTGATCGTGGGGTACGCCTTCCACTACCCACACCTCCTGAACCAGCAGATCGCGCGCTCTGCCCACAAGGCTGCCTTCCGCCAGCACGTTCTGTCCATCGTCCTCCGCGGGCCGACCCTGTGCTTCTTTGCCGCCCTCTTCTCCATGTTTTTCTTCCCTCTGGTGAGGAGTGGTGGGCTTATGGGGCCAAGAGGCTGTGCTGGCTGACACTGTGGCTGGGGGCCAAGACAAGGGCTAGGGTAAGAGATTAGGCCCACACGCTGGGCAGAGAGCCATGCCAGGCTGAGGCTGGAGCCGGTGGTGCTACGAGGAATGGTGTGCAGGGGTGACAGGAAACGGGACAGCGGCAGGTTCATGGCTGTTCCATCCCAGGACTCCCCAAGGCCACTTACACAGACTGAAGAGCTGGGGCGGGGTAAAGAAATGACCCTGCTCTGAGAAGAGGGCTTGTCAGTTCCCTTTTCCTGAAGACTGTGACTCATCCAGGACTGTCCCTGAGTCTGGGGAAACTGGAACGTGACAAGGACAGAAAACAAAGGCCTGAGAGTCCAAGGAAACAGCTGATGCGGCTGCTCAGGAAACACCAGCATGGGGGCGGCCAGGGGACACACGCCTGGTGAATGAGGCACCAAGAAAGAGGAGGGAGTGAAAGGAAAGATGCTTCCAGAACCAGAGAAGGGGAGAAAACAGAGGTGAAGGAGAAGATCCTGCTGTTCGTGGGGGGCCCAGCGTGGGATAAGACACACTGAACCACTCAAGTGACACGAAGATGAAGAAGGACCTGCTCTTGGAGCGCCAAGCCCACAGTGCTCCGCGGGCTCTGCACCATCACGAAGGGACAGTGAGCTGGGTTTGTCATCTGGACTTACCTCAGCTGAGTGGTGAATGAAAGCCCAGGTCACCGGGCTGACACACATGTGGCTGGTTCCTGCCTTTGGCTCTTGTGAGCGATTTTGCAGTGAACACGGCATTGTCTGAGGCCTCACAAAGGTACTGCGGCGGGGCTCCAGCTCAGACACGTCCGAGTTTCCTCCCGACAAAACGTGTCTCTGAGACGAGTGGATGGCTGCAGCCAGGCTCTCATGTTAGTCTCATTACGGTGCCTTCCAGACAAGGTCCAATCACAACTCTGGTTCCGGGGTATCTGTGGGTCTAGGGCCTTTCGAGTCAGAGGGTCAGCTCAGAAGGTGATGGTGGCTAGTTTGGGGGACTCCAAAGAGGTCGTCTTGATGCATTTTCTTGAAGAACACAGGATGATTATAGGGGGTTATTAGGAAGAAGTTTTAAGAAAAATTGAAAAGTGCACTGCTGAGAAAAAGGGCAGGAAAGTTGCGCCGTGCATGTTTTTGTCTTTTTTCTGTTGCAGCAACGCACCAGCTTAATCTTTGAGTGGGTAGCAAAGGCTGTTCTGCAAGGCTTTTCCTGGGCACTTACTCTATCCACCTTACAGCCCTGACCTTGCCCCTTCCCATTTCTTTTGGCTTCCACACCTCCAAAGAATTTGAGTCCCTGGAAGCTGCCCCAAGTGCTATTTCATGTGATGTCAGTCAAAGAGCACAGAATTGGGGGGAGCAGGGTTAGAGAGCTGGAAACACCGCCTTCAGAAGTGTAGAGACCTAGGGAGGGGGGAGGAAACGTCGAGAAACATCTTCATATTTTGATGCTCTTTTTTAATAAAGGTGTCTGATTTTATAGCAAGAGTTTTTTCCTTACCTTCGTACCTAGAAGTGAACTGTAGGGTCCCGTGGGACATGTGATTAGACTTGAGCGGAATCAGCAGACAGCACGGTGGCTGTACCAGTTTACATCCCAGCAGCCATGTACCAGGATTCATTTCACCACACCCTTATTAACATTTTCCATTTGCTGATTTTTTTTTTTAAATAGTAGCCAGCCTACTTGGTATGAACGATACCTCCTTGTAGTTTTGATTTGCATTTCCCTAACTACGAGTCCTGGTGTGGTGCTGTGGGTTAATGTGCCAGACTGCAAAGCCGTTTGAACTGCAAGGTTGGCAGTTCAAGCTCACCAGCTGATCCTCGGAAACCCTATACAGGGTTGTTATGGGTCGGAACCAACTCGACAGCACTTAACAACAATTACTAATGGAGCCCTGGTGTGGCACTGTATAAGATCAGCACTAGACTGCTAACCAAACACAAGGTCAGCGGTTCAAACCCATCACCTGCTCCTTGAAAACTATACAGGGTTGCTATGAGTTGGAATCACCTTGTCGGCAGTTAACAACGACTAATGTCAAGATTTTCTCTCATGTACTTTGGCTATGTTGCTGGTGAAGTAGAGGGTCAGTGATGAAAAGGATGCCCGTCAGTGAGACGGATGGGCCGTGGCAGCAGCAACGGCTCTAACATCAACGATGGTGGGACTGGTGCAGGACTGGGGTGTGTCTACAATAAGTGCTATGACGGAACCCACTCCATGGCACCTACTGCCCACAATTAACGAGGCTAAGCATCTTTTAATATGCCTATTGACCATTTGTAGACCTGTCTCGACATCCATTGTCCGTTTTGCTTTTTAGAGCGTATGTTTCTGTTGTTGTAAGAGTTCTGTACACCCTGGAGACTACGCCTTTATCAGGAGTCTATGGGGGCTGCATACGTTTGACTCACTCAACTGCTAAGTAAAATGCTGGGAGTTTTAAATCCACCCAGCGGCACCTCAGTAGAAAGGCTGGGAAACCTGCTTCCAAAAAATCAGACCCCGGAAACCCTGGGGAGCAGAGTTCTTCTCTGACAGACACAGGAGCGCAGGAGTCAGAGTGGACTCAACAGTACCTGGTCATTGTCCTTAAGAGACCTTTATGAGGCGTGTGGTCTGCGGGCACCCCTCCTGCTTACTCTGTGGTCCCTCCTGAGCTGTGTGGTCTCTGGGTACCCACCATTCTGTGCCCCTCCTGAGATGTGTGGTCTGCGGGTACCCCCCCATTCTGTGTCCCTCCCTAGACGTGTGGTCTGCGGGTACCCCCTCGCGTTCTGTGGTCCTTCCAGAGACGTGTGGTCTGCAGGCGGGGAGCTAGTACACTAAGGGCGTGTCTCCCTGCACAGTCGTACCTGTTGATGGTGACCGTCATCTTCCTGCCATACATCAACAAGGCCGCTGCCTGGTTCAAGAACAGGATCATGGGTAAGTTTCCCCTACCCGCCCCCCAGTAGGGCAGGCTGGCCTTCCAGAGGCTGATGTGGATGGGGGTTTAGTGGAGGGAGAGGCCCAGCCCAGCGGGAGAGCACAAACCTCAAGGCCTCGGGGAGCGTGAGCGTGGAGAGACTCCCCCTGACCCCATGAGGCCTAGGTTGCCCTTGTCGCTGAGCACTAGCTCTGGGCGGATGGCTCTGAATGTCCACTTCTCTGCCCTTCGGAGCCTAGCCCCCCAGTGCGCTGTAGGGCCTCTTAGGGCCGGCCGCAGGGGGTGGAGCTTCCTATGGCTCCTCCTCCCATGGCAGGCCCAGGAGAACCTGCGGTCCAGAGCCTGGAGTTCTTCACCTTCGACCTGCACGAACCGCTCAGCAAGGAGCGTGTGGAGGCCTTCAGCGACGGCGTCTATGCCATTGTGGCCACCCTCCTCATCCTGGACATCTGGTAGGAGCCCACTCTGAAGCCCGCTGCCTCTGGCGGTGCTGAACCTGGCCAGCCCACCGAGGCAGCGATGGGGGGCGGGGGGGAGGGAGGCCTGAGTTCAGAGTGGGCGTCCAGGCCTCCAGGGAGCACAGAGCTGCCCGGAGAGCTGGCAGGTAGACGCATGGAGAGTCACCGGCTGTGCCTTCAGTCCCCACGCTCCCCACCCTCCCTCCGGGGAGCCTCATCTGCCCTTTCACGTCTCCCTGAGAGTCTGAGGGCTGCTGTAGCAGCTGACCCGGCCAGACACCCCCACCTCCTGTGGGAGGGTCTCTCTGTGCGTCCCGAGGCTTGGAGGAGGGGCTGCCGCCAACGCCATCTGTTTGCTGCCCCCAGTGAGGACAACGTCCCGGAGCCCAAGGACGTGGAGGGACAGTTTAACGGCAGCCTCATCGCAGCCCTGGGCGCCTTCGGGCCACACTTCCTGGCGTACTTCGGCTCCTTTGCCACGGTGGGCCTGCTCTGGTTCGCCCACCACTCGCTCTTCCTGCATGTGCGCCGGGCCACGCGGGCCATGGGCCTGCTCAACACGCTGGCGCTGGCCTTTGTAGGCGGCCTGCCGCTGGCCTACCAGCGGACCTCGGCTTTGGCACAGCAGCCCCGAGAGGAGCTGGAGAGCATCCGCGTCAGCTGCGTCATCATTTTCTTCGCCAGCATCTTCCAGTTCGCCACGTGGACCGCAGCCCTGCTATGCGAGAGGGAGGCTCTGCACCCGTCGGCGCGTTTCGGGGGCCGGGAGCATGCGCTCATGTTTGCCAAGCTGGCCCTGTACCCCTGTGCCAGCCTGCTGGCCTTCGCCTCCACCTGCTTCCTGCGCCGTTTCAGCACTGCCATCTTCCACCTCATGCAGGTGGCTGTGCCCTTCGCCTTCCTGCTTCTGCGCCTGCTCCTACGCCTGGCCTTGGCTGTCCTGTGCGCCCTGCGGCGTCTCCGCCAGCCAGCACCCCAACCCGGCGACCAGGGCTCGGCAGAGGCGCAGTCCCAGCTCCTCTCGGCTCCCTGCTAGCAGCTCCGGAGCACCCCGTTCTCCATCCACTGTGCCCTGGACCCCTGCTCCGCACTGCTGACCCTGTGCTTCCTGCCCTGTGTCCACTCCTGCAGCCTGAGGTGATGTGAAAGGACAGGACAGCAGGGTCCATGAATGGCAGGGACAGGCCAGCGGTCCACTGAGAGACACGAGCTCCCGGGACCTCATTTGTTCAATTGCACTTTGTATCTGTCCCTCCTCAGCCAACAGATGGCCTTCCTCTGATGAATGTAGTGGGACCAGATAGAATTAAAGGGACTGGCAGGCTGGAGTGGCAGGTGGCTCTCTGAGGGCAGGGTGGGTGAGGAGGTCTGGGCTGTGCTAGGTGTTAGGGACACCCTGCTTTACTAACCACAGTCATTGCTCCTGGGGCACAGTAGGCAGGGGACCGTGCAACCCACCCTACATGTAAAGCTGAGAGTCCATGAACAGGCCCTGGGTTTCCCGGCCCCCGCCCACTTCAGCACTTGTAGCATCACAGACCAGGGAGACAGCGATGGCCAGCACTGTATTTGTCACAAATATAAGTTACCGTTACATTCAGGCAGCGATAAATCAGACCTGCTGCGGTCTGAGCAAGTAGTCGGCAAGGGCTGCCCACCACGGCACCAGCCGTTCACACACGGAAACCCAGACCCACCCTGCCCCTGATTGACACACAGCTCCACAGGTCAGACGCACAGCGGCTGGCAGAGCAAAGTCATCACACAGGACACGTCATGGATGGAATGTGCACTTATACGCAGCAGGCACTGAGCACTCCACAGGGGTGTTACGACGCCCCTGGGCAGTTTTGGCAGAAGCATGGGGGAGCAGGGAGACCTTGGTGGCTACAGACTGGTGCCCCAACCCAGGGGAGTGAGGCTGGTCTGGAGCCCCCGTGGCTACTGCCAGCCCAGCTCCAGTGGGAAATCAGAAGTCTGGAGCCAGGTGTCCCCTTTTCTGGAGTGGGCACTTCGGGAGACTTGCTGTGATCTAGGTCAGCAGGCATTGGAGGAAACAGTTCTCATCCCCGCCCCATGCGTGGTCTTGGTGACAGGGCAGGGGTGGGGATTAAGCAGTGAATTGGAGCTGGTCACACCACACTGCTGCGGGCAAACGGATGTAAAGTGCTTAACATGTTAAGTCCAGGAGATGAAAGCTGTCCTTCCACCTGCCCAGCGTGGTGTATTTACACCACCAAGCCCTGCTTTTGGGAACCCGAGGGGTGGGCCCGGCCCCTGGGGTCTCTTCTACCACCTCAGGATGGAGGGGCAGCCCCTAGGCCTATACTCAACCTCCCCTCCCACTTCTATGGCGCTCAGCCCCACACTGCCACCTGCTGGTGAAGCAGCTCCCCGCCAGTCTCAGGAACCCCAAACAGCCTACCACATGGGTGCATCCCCACACCGGCCAAGAACTGGCAAGGCTGCAATCAGGAGCCCACCTAGGGGCAGGGCAGCCTGGAAGTCAACCATCTGCACTGAGCTAGAGAGGGGGTACTGAAATGTGTGCCCACAGTAATGGCTGATGGAGTGATGAGGTGCGATGCATCCCATAAGGAGCTTGGAGGCGAAGAGGGCATCCCACATCTGACCCAGTGTACCCGACGAGGGCCTCAGCAGAGCCCCTGTCCCCCCACTGTGTGGATCATGCTAAGGCAGGGGGACAGGGGGCACCCCCACCACCCTCTTAGTTGGCTCCATGTGATTCGGCCTGGGATGAAGATGTCCGCAGACACGTGGCCCCAGGAAGACAGGGTCAGCCCACTACCCTGGAGGTGGACCTAGGAGGGCCCTCTCAGCCTCCCATGGCGTCTCTACTTGGCATCCCCATCAGGGACAGGTGCGTCCATTCGGGCCTCCTTAGGGCCGCCTCCAGTCTTTCTGGGTTTCTGCTTGGACTTTTTCAGCATGTGGACCTGTCACAAGGAAAGTCATCAGAGGGGCTGGGGGCTCACACCCGCAGGTCTGGCTCAGCATCAAGAATGCCCAAACCATCAATTTTCAGGACAAGTAAAAACATGGCTCCAAGCCCTCCCAAAGCCATGGCCTCCAGCCTGCCCAGCTCACCCACCATGACCCATGTACCTTGGGCCCCGCGGCTGAGATGATCATGTGGCCAGGGGCCTGGACCCAGGGCTCCCCATCGACCTGCACGGGGGTGGCCTTGAGAAGCGTGACGCGGAAGTACGAGCCCTGAGCGATGCGGATGCCCGAGCGGAGCCCGCCCTGGACCTGCCCCTGGGAAGATGGGAGGGGGCGAGCTAGGGTCTGCCCGAGCCAAAGCCTCAAGCGCACAGAGGGGATGGTCCAGCCACTCACCATGTGCACGACGCCGGTCACCCCCACCACCTCCAGCAGCCCATCATCCATGCGTGGCTTCTCGAACCTTGAGTCGTTGTCGGAGCCCCACAGGTCGGCCCCCGAGCCCCAGCTGTGGACGGGGAGAGGACGGGAGTGTGGGCCGGAAGCAGACACGCAGTGCCCCACCAGAGGCCATGCTGTGGGGTACCAGCCCGCACCTGGGGATGTTGATGAAGATGAGGCCCTCAATGCTGGGTAGTTCCACCTCTTGCTGCTCCACTTGCAGCCGGAGCTCCCTGTGCAGGCTGCGAGAGTGGCTGATCTTCTGCAAGCCCACGCGCACGTACACACCTTTGTTATGGAACCTGCGTGGGGACAGCGACCCTACCGTCAGAGCAGACCCCTGCTCCCTAGCCGGCAATACACTGTCACCAGGGGGCAGCCCCGAGCAAGCGAGCGAGTGGCTTCTGCTCCTCCGTACCTGCTCGTGAACTTGCCGGGCTCCACCTCCCGGGCCTGGTGGAAGTCCAGGCTTAGCTCTGCATCGATGCCAATTCCACAGTAGTTATTCATCTGGACGATCTGGGGACAAAGGACAAGACACATTACCCCCAGAATCCCAGAGCTGGGTTCAGTCACCCGCTCAATGCATTGCCAGAGCTGCCCGGTCACTCCCCTGCTTAAGCCCTCCAGGGCTCCCCAGAACCCCAGGGGGAGGTAGCATGCCCCACAGCCCAGCCAGGCCTGGCCATGGTCACCCAGATAGCCACTCCTTCTCCGGAGCCAGGTGTGGCCTGAGCTAGTGAGGGGCAAGGGAGAGTTCTGGCGCACGTGGTACCTTTGGGGGCTCCACATCAGCCATGCCGTTGTCTGTGCCACTGGCCTCTTGCGCATCCAGCAGAATGGTCCAGCGGTCCATGAGCACTGCATCAGCTTCATCCACAGAAACCAGCACTGAGAAGGGGTCTTCTCCACTGTAGCCCGCCCCCCAGCGGAGCACTCGGCCGAGGTCATTCCCTGGGTGTAAGATGCATAGTGATGCCCGCCATGGGCCTGGAGCAAAGGGACAAACCCCAGAGCCTATACTCCCCAGCTCTGGCTGTGCCCACCTGTGCCCAGGGGCAGGATGGCCACGGAGGGCTCAGGGCAGGCAAGACGGTGGCGTATCTCCTCCAGGGCACCGAGGACCCAGCCCACGGTGCCATCCCCGCCACACACCAACACCCGGAAGCGAGGGACCTTGGAGAACACGTGGAACCTGGCGTGGGGGAGACAGGATGTGTCCCACCACTGACGTGGGAGCCAGCCCAACCCCACTCAGGGAGCAGGGTTACAGGGCAGACCAGGCGTCCCCTTGACCCTAGTAGAGTGGAGGTCCAGCCCAGCCGTGGGCTACCGCACTCACCCAGGGAGAGGCCCCCCATTGGTCAGCTCGAAGACCTGGTGAGGATTCAGCAGCTTCCGGAAACTGTAGAGCAGGTCTCGGCCCTTGAGGCCTCCACTCTTAGGGTTCACGAACACGAGCAGCGGGCAGCAGTCTGGGGGGAGCTTTGTGTGCTGACAGACAAGGGCAGGGTCAGACAAGAGCTCCCCTGACCACAGCTACCAGGTGATGACTCAATGTCAGGTAGTGACCACCCCCACACCAAGAGCTGTCCAGCAGTGACTGCCCCTCAAATGGGGCTGCTGGGCAATGGCCATGTGACCCCGGCCAGTCCAGCCCAGCTCTCAAGTCCCCTCACCCCCAGCCCTGGGCTGCCTGGGGCCAGCAGGTCCCCACAAGTCACACCAGCGCTGTCTGAAGGAAGTTACAGCCATCCCCTCACACAAGGCCACGTGGGCACCTTATCTATCTCCCTTCTGTTGGATCAGGGTACCCCACTGTGTGAGGCAGCACATCTGCCCCAGAGCGCCGAGCACACGACCCATGCCACACCCACTGTGACACAGGACTGCAGTTCACCCATTTGCCCATCTTTCATGCCCACTAAAGAAGGCCCAAGGCTGGAGAACCAAGACTGTGGGCAACCAGGTGGCACCACACACAAGTCCACTATGTGCTCTCCACTCAGCCCCCACGAGTCACACGGCTCCCCCCATCAGCCATGGTGACAGTGGCCATCGTCCACGTCACCCTGTGGACTACAGGGCCTGGACAGACAAGAGTCCAGCATCCCCACCACAGCGGGGTCCAGGGCTGGGGTCCCTACAAAGCAGGCTGCTTACAGACGAGTGACAAAGGGCACTGTCAGTGGCACACGGGCCCCACCGTGGCTTGAGGCCAGGATACTGGGGACACGCTCTGACCACAGAGCTGCCCCATGGTCATGACCTACCCTCACCCGCATGCAGATGGCTAACCGAAAAGATAGAAAATGCACGTGGACCAAGCTGCATCACCAGGCACGACACAAACCAGCTCTGCCCTAATTGGGCTTCTCCTGGTCAGGGCTCAAGGACAAAGCAGCCATGGACAGCAGGGGCTGGCAAGGTATAGCCAGGTGGGGCAGGGGTCTTTAAGACAGGACTCAAAGTCAGGCAGCACCAGCTACTGGCTGGCAGTGGCCTGTGTGGAGTAGGAGCAGGACCTTCAGTCTGTGAGGGGAGAGGGGCCGGTGACCAGTGACCCAAAAGGACAGGGACCCGATGACATGTTCGCTTGTGATCGCCAATACACTCGGGTACCATAGCGAACCAGGCACTGCAGAGGCACCGGCCAGGTGTATCCCCGACGGCTGGGGCCTTGAACCGGCATCCTCACTCTATTCTGGGTGGTTTGTCCTCTGGACTCCTAATAGAGCTAGGCTCGGCCGCTCACCCTCTGACCTCACCCCTCGGGCTACAATGGGGATGACAACATCTTCCCTGGCTGTGACGTAGCCACTCATCCACTGGCCACGCTGCTCGACCTTTGACCTTGCTCCCTTACCCCCTGACCTCACCCCCTCAGAGTAAAAGGATGACGTCTTTCTTCCCAGGCTAGTAACACAGGATAGCATTATCCAAAGAGCCCAACAAAGGTGAAAAAACTAAATGTCTGTCCATGGGACCCTGCAGGCTCACAAATCTACACCTTCTCCACACACAAGACCTTCTCCACATACAACCTTCTCCACGCATGACCTTTTCCACATACAACCTTCTCTGCACGTGACCTTCACATGACCTCTACACACGACCTTCTCCACATACAACCTTCTCTCCACACATGACCTTCATACACACAACCTTGTCCACACACGACCTTCTCTACACACA